TTTCTTCTTTTGCTTGTTTCTTGAATTCTTCATTTTTAAGTGTAATATATTAAGTTTCCAGTTGAATTCTCTTGGTCTACTGCCTATTTGTAACATAATTGGGTTATGATCCACAAATGTACTGGGTAAAATATCTATTAGTTCTAATTCTGTCATCAGGTTTGTTGACATCCAGCATGCATCAATCCTTGACCATGATTTATGCCTATTAGAGTAAAAGGTATAGTCTCTTGTCTTTGGATTACATGTTCTCCATGCATCCACCATACTCAATTCTTCTGCTAGTTGTAAAAAATTCCTGGGGATGATGTTTCTCTTCTTTTTGCTTATTTTTCCTGATTTTGTATCTAGTTCTCTGTCAAAGATGGCATTAAAATCTCCAGTTATACAGTAATGGTCATAGTCTTTGTTTTCCAATTCCCATTGCAGTTATTTATAAAAATTTTCCTGGTTTCCATTTGGTGCATAGACATTGACTATTAACAATTTCTTGGATTCTCTTTGAATTTCCACCATTACTATCCTTCCATCCTCTGAGGCAAAGGTCAGGCGAGGCTCCCATTCCTTCTTCATATAGATAGCAACTCCTTTCTTCTTCTTGCTCACGTCTGAAGCTGCAAATAGTTTTCCTAATCTTGGCCATTCTAATAATTTCAAATCCTTTCTTTTCATATGAGTTTCCTGAATGCAAATAACATCAAATTTCTGTTTTTGCAGTTGTAGAAAGGTCCTTTTTCTTTTTTGGGGTGAGTTTAGGCCATTTACGTTTACTGATATAATCTTCATTTGTTTTCTAGACATCTTGCTTGAAATTACTATCTTTTTGTTTTTTCTTCATCATGCTTCTGGTGCATCTTGGCTCATTTGTTTCTTGCTCTTCTAATTCCGTGTCTGATTCTGGTTGTGATAATTGCGTTTGTTTGTTCCTCTCGGGATCTTTCTTCTGGTTCCTTGTCACCTGGATTTTTCAGTTTCTTCTCATTTTTTTCCATGAAATCTCTTGCTTTCATTAGAGATGTTATATTATATCTCTGTGCATTTGTAATTGGTTGACTGACTGAACCCCAAGGGTACTCACAAATGGCTTCTCTTCATCCTGGAGAGAGGTAACTAGGGGGTGCCCCCAGGTTCTGTTCTGGTCCCTGTGCTATTCAACATCTTTATCAATGACTTGGATGAAGGAATAGAGAGTATGCTGATTAAATTTGTAGTTGATACCAATTTGGGAGGGGTTGCTAATCCCCCAGAGAACAGGGTTAAAATTCAAAATGACCTTGACAGATTAGAGCCCTGGGCCAAAACTAACAAAATTAAATGTGGTTTTAATCTGTTTTTGTGTTTAATACATTGTGAGCCGCCCTGAGTAGACTTTTGTCTAGAAGGGCGGGATAAAAATCCAATAATAAATAAATAAATAAAATGAATTTCAACAGGGAGAAATGTAAGGTCCTACAGTTAGGCAGGAAAAAAAATGAACTGCACAGATATAGGATGGAAGACACCTGGCTAGACAAGAGTACCTGTGAAAGGGATCTAGGAGTCTTGATAGACCACAAACTGAACATGAGTGAGCAGTGTGATGTGGCTGCCAAGAAAGCCAATGCAATTCTTGGCTGCATCAATAGGAGTATAGTGTTTAGATCAAGAGAAGTGATAGTACCGCTCTGTTCTGCTTTGGTCAGACCTCACCTGGAGTATTGTGTCCAGTTCTGGGCACCTCAATTCAAGAAGGATGTTGACAACTTGAAACATGTTCCGAGGAGGGCAACCAAAGGTCTGGAAGCCATGTCCTATGAGGAGTGGCTTAGGGAGCTTGGAATGTTTAGCCTTACAAAAAAGAAGGTTGAGAGGGTACATGATAGCCATGTTTAAATATTTGAAAGGATGTCATGTTGAGGAAGGGACAGGCTTGTTTTCCACGGCTCTAGATACTAGGACCAGGAGCAGTGGTTTCAAATTACAGGAAAAGAGATTCCACCTGAATCTCAGGAAGAACTTCCTGACAGTCAGAGCTGGTCAGCAGTGGAATATGCTGCCTCGGAGTGTGGTGGAATCTCCTTCTTTGGAGGTTCTTAAGCAGAGGCTGGATGGCCATCTGTCGGGAGTTCTTTGATGGAGTTCTTGCATGGCAGGGGGTTGGACCTGATGACCTCTGTGGTCTCTTCCAACTCTGTGATTCTGTGATTCTATGAAATCTCTCATGTTGACACCACCTTTGTAGCCAGTCATTCACCCAGAGGGTCTTCCTTTCTCTTTCAGTTTCTCTTCCGAGCACCGGTAGGATGGATGAAAAAAACTATCTGGGCCTGAAGTATTTTCTTTTGCCTTTCTATTCCTCTTCCTAGTACTGGTAGGATGGATAAAAAAATCTATATGGGCCCACTAAGTCCTTGAGTTTCTTTCCTGGAATTTCAAAGTCTAACATGATTTCTTCAAAGCTCCTCTTGGCTGTGTCGTTTGTTCCCACGTGGACAAGAAGAAAAGGATATGTATCTGTGGGTTTTACAAGTGATGGCAGTCCTTCTGTCACATCCCTCCAGGGAGACAAACATACCTGCTGAGTCCATGGATCTTCCCGGCATATTTCAGTCTCAATTTCACACAGCAGTGAGGCTCTTACAACAACTACTCTTCTTCTCTTCTTTTTGTAGGTTGGAGATTCAGAGACTGTATCTGGCTGTGCTTCGGCCCTTCTCATGTCCTCTTGTGGGATCTCGGCATGCTGTCTGCAAGACTCTTCTTCAAGAATCTGAAAGTGGTTTTGCAATTCTACAGGTGAAGAGTTTCTTCTTTCTTTTGCTCCTAACTGTGACTCTTTTCCACAGTGGTTCTTCCACTCTGTTTGTACTCTCCTTGGCACTCTCCTCCTCTGCTTTGCTTTGAGTCCCTTCCCTTTCTAGTGCCCGCTGTGACAGCTGCTGCTGCTCAAGAGTTCTGTCAATGTATGCTTCATCTTTCCTTATAGCCTTGAGTGTGGCTACTTCCTGCTCCAGTTCTCTCACTTCTGACATTGCCACTGCTTTGCAATTGTTACATGTGTACACCATGTTGCACTCAGGAACAAAGACAAACAGGTTACTGCAGGTTACTGCAACTGAATTGCCTCCACCAGCCATAATCCCTGCAAGCATTTTGTTTCCCACTGATAGTTTATGAATGTATGTCCCTTTTGTTTTGTTACCTTGAATGTAACTGGGAGCATCTGCAAATAAATAACTATATCCAAAAGAACAACAAAATATTTTGGGCCCTCCTCCTTGGCCTCCCCTGTTGAACTCCTCTGGGAAACTCCTGTTTGCTTGCTCCAGTCGTGAGCTCCCTGGGTCTACCTCAACTTTATTCCTCAGCTGTGTTCTGTTTGGAGTCAGGAATATTAATAATTTTAAAAAGGATTCTTGGTCTAGTAGGTTATTATAGATGATTTAGACCAAATTTCAGGACAGTAGTCTCCCTTATGTCAGAATTAACATGGAAAAGTCACCCTGGTAAGATCATCTGGAGCCTTACTTGTTTTTATAAAGTTAAAAGGGGCCATAATATCAACACTGGTGTTAATAGCCCCCTATTTTGACCAAGTGTTTGTGGTAACCACCGATGTGTCCAATGTAGGCTTAGGGGCTATGTTAAGTCAATCAGATACTGATTGTTTATTGCACCCTATTGTGTTTATAAGAAAAAAGTTACAACAATGAGAAAAACATTTGTCTACTGTAGAAAAGGAATGTTTGGCAATTGTTTGGGCCATAGGCAAATTCAAACCTTTATGGGGATGGAGATCTGTGCTCCATGTGGACCATTCACCTTTATGTAAAAGGTCCAGATAGTAAGTTGTTAAGATGGAGTTTGTTATTTCAAGATTTTGATTTTGAAATATAAACAGTAAAAAGAAAATGTGGTGGTAGGTACATTGTCCAACAACCTGAAGGAAAGATCTAGAAAGAAGGTAAAATGGAAAAATGTGTGGAAAAGTATGATAGATAACTATAGAACCGTAGTTAGTAATGTTAACTAAAGGTGATATTATATGCTCTAGAGTTCATTGCTCTTTATGGAAACTGTTATAGGCTCTTAATCAGGCTGTGAAGTAAAGGGGGGAGGAATGTGATGGACCCCTATTCAGTTTTGTGTGGTAAGAAGAGAAACAAGGTGATTGGCTGGGGAAATGCAGGAGGTGAGTCTGTCCAGGAGAACCTGAAGGAGGAGGAGCCAAGAAGAGCTGGAGAGAAGTGGAGAAGTTAATTTGTGTCTGAAGAGGGAGGTTGTGTATTTTGGCAGTTGAACTGTAAAAGCTTATGTTGAATTCTGTTTTCTAGATTGATGAGATTACTAATTTTCTGATGCAAGTTACCCTGTTTTTATCAACACCCCTAAGATCACTCAGTGAACTTCCTCTCATTTTGAGGATTTCACACAGGATCCCCACAGTCCATGCACTATTGTAGATACGATCTATGGTAAATGCTGGCTTTTTCAGGAACAAATTCACTCCATGAATAATGAATTGTTGCTCACAGACAAGAGGGAACAAAAACCCATGGTTTTTGAATGTTTTAAAAATTTTAATCAGATTTTATTTTTTTTAATTGTAGAAATACTGTCAAAAAAGGTCCTGTATAATGCTAGCTCTAATTTTAAATGTGCTTAGCTCAAAGATCTCATTACAGAATAGGGATTATAAATTCTAATTTTCTATTATGAAATAGTCAGTTACTCTTTTTCAAAAAGTTGGTTAAACAGTCCTTGAAATGAGTAAGGGAGAGTTATTCCAAAATCACAGTTACTGTTGACAATTAACCTTACTCCAATATTTGTTTGCAAACATTTTAAAAAGTTGTTGAAGTATAACATGGTGATTCTTAAGTAAATTTTTTATAGAGAACAATGGACAGAAATGGTGTTACATAAACTGTTGACTGATTCATGTAGTGTCTGTTTTATATCTTGCTCCTGTCATGACTTCACAACCAGCTTGTCTCACACTCAGTACTTCCCCACATTTGCAGTATGAGATGTTTAGGGGACAGAAACAAGGGAAAATGTTGATGTAAATGGATCCCCTTTCCTGCTCCCATCTGTTTTGTTTCTTCTCTCCCTCTCAGCTCTGTAACGGCCAGCCTGATGTAGGGCCCTGAAGGACTTGAAAACTAGCCTTTTTAGCAATTGAATAAAGATGTTCCCCACCCTTATTTTGGATTTTATACAAGAATTACATGACACCTCTTCCTCTTTTTTCAAACAATGGTAACATTGGAGTGACCTCTTCATAGACTACATTGTGGGTTGTTTGATGGAGAAAACTATTTATAGATTATTCTTAGCTTATTGTCAATTTCAGTTAATCAGAGAGCAACAAAAGGGAATAAGAGAATTTACTGAATAGAGAATTTGTTTTAGGGAAGGAAAGGGCTGCTTTAGCAGTTGTATGGGTAAAAGAGATAATGCTTCAGATACAGTGAGAGTGCCTGCTGAGAAGAGGAAGAGGAATAACTTTAGGCCACCACTCAGTGAATCAGAGGCATAGCGCCTCTTAAACCACAGCTCCCATATATGTGTCCATGGATGTTCCCCCCTCAATCAGCCATCAATGGGAACAGCCAGGAAGATGCTCAGTCTGTCACAAAAAGGTGACTACTAGATCTTCTGTATACCAAGAAGAAAACAAAACAAAAGGAACTGAAACATCCATGGAAGTCCAAATTATAAATGAGAGACAAAGTCTCAGGATGTTGAAAGTAGAAACAAGCTCCCCCTCTCTCTCTGTATTAGGCATGATAAAATATATTAGACAGAACATCAAACACTTACCGAACCTCTTTATACTCTCTGCAACTTTCATTGGTCCATATCAGCTCCAAAACTAATTGAAAGTGTTCAAAAGTGCAGGCACTAGGAGAAGAGACATATGTCCACAGATGTGCAGGGTGGCGAGATAACCAGCCCAATGGTGTTATCATAATAAAGAAGAAAGTCTGCCTTTTCTTTATCCTCTGTTATCATTTTTCCATCCCCATTGCAGAGCTGCACCACTATGTCTTTTGTTTGTCTTTTGCTACTCCCATACCTGAAGAATGCTTTTTTATTGCCTTTAGTGTACCTAACTGACCTCAGCTCATTCTCAGTTTTTCCTCCTTCCCCCCCAATATTTTCATTTCATGCATGCAAATATACAAAACAGAAAATTAAAACCAAAGAGGAACAAACACTAACAATAAAAAAACATCAAAACTAAACATCCGTACTACACAAATAGATCTGAAATTTCACCATTGTCTGGTCTAAATATCATCAAAGGATTCTAGTGAGCACCAATTCGCTATAAACTATTTCTTCCCTGTCTTTTCCTGGACCCATTTATACATCAGCTTCCAGCTTTCCTTTAAAAAATGTCTTGATTGATCATGTAGTGCCGCTGAAAGCATATCTAGTTCTGCAATATCCAGTAGCTTCTTTAATAGCTCATTCATTGTTGGATGAAGCTCCACCCTTCCATTTTTGGGCCCAGAGTAACCGAGCTACAGTAAATATATACAGTAAACTATATTTTATTTTCTTATCAATGATTTCTGGCTTTATATTCAATAATAACATTTCAGGCTTAAAACTTATTTTTTGTTGAACAATTTCTTGTGACAATTCCCAATTGTGACATTTCCCAAATCTATAACCAATTTTTTTCCTCTTTCACATGACCATCATACATGATCGTAAGTTTCCAGCAAATATTACAGATCCCTTCTGACATTGCCTAATTTATTGGAGTAAAATGCCACCTACGAAATATTTTAATGATGTTTTCTGTAAGATTAATTGGTTTCATCATTTTATGGTTACCTTTTGGCATTTTTGTCCAGTCGTCAATATCAGAATTATAACTGAAGGCGGTGCTTGTCACAGTGCACTCAGCAACCCCTGGGAATAGCTCTGGGAGAAAGCTCGAACCGCCCGGTCTGAGGGTCCTTCAGGATATGAGGGTCCAAAGGAGAGTCCAGGAGAAGTTTCCCTGAAGCTGGTGAGCAACAGAGGGGAAGGAAGCTGGGCAGTAACCTAGTATTTCTTCCCTCTGAAAAGATCACTCGAGCACGGATCAGATGCAGGAGCCATCTTTGGCAGTGAGCTGTGAGTAACACCCCCCTCCTGGAGGAGAGGAGAACAAATAAATATGGCATTGAAAATTTACAATAATAAAGCAAGTTGAAGCCTTTGATCTATGAATAGCCCTAATAGCAGAAAAAGAAACTATAGTGACAATATTTGGCCAAAAGGAAGGGGAAAAGCGGCAAACTTACTTACTGGCCTGCTCTCTCTAAATCAAAGCTATCTTTGGAATGCAGGCCAGTCAAGGCCAAGAAATGAGAGAGTGAGAGAAGGAAAAATCTGATCCTGGAAAAATCCCAGGGTGAATTAAATAACATCGGACAGGATTTAAAACTCTTATAAGTAAGAAAAACAAACTGGAAAATAATAATGTCGAGCTACTAGACTTCTCAACAGTGCTATAAAAACCTGGGAACTATATAAATATCCTGGGAGTGGGGAAGCTGTGGGAGACAACCCCCCCAGAGGCTACGGTTATAAAGGGCTATTTTATATACTGTGAGAAGGTACTGTCAAGATGCGGTCCCCAAGGATAGATTGTGGAACTGGGAAAACTAGGACTGGAGTTGTTGGTTGGATTTAAGGTGGAAGGAACATACAGTGGAGTATAAGGACACCTGCTGGTGGAAAGCTGAGTGACAGTCTCAATACACCTCCTATGTTATACGTAGGATAATATA